GTTGCTTTTCATTGGGAATGCTCTGGGACACATGCAATGCAGGGTCTGGGACAAGAGGACAGGCCGAATTGAGACAATGCAGACCCAACGTGGAGAGGCCAGCACTACTTAAGGAGCAGCCAGCCTCATTCCACGGCAGATCTCCTCTGGCATTCAATACGTGGAAGTGCTGGTGCACTTGTGCGTTAGTCAGGCAGGAGCAGCGCTGGAGGAAGGAGATGCGCTAAAGGAGGAGAGAAGGCTGGGCGCTGGAGGGAAGCAGCCATCGCTGCCCAGCAGATTAGTGTAGACTTAGCAGTGTTAGTGTAGATAGCTATGAGTGACATTCAGAGTAGATCCTCGTGAGAGAAGAGTGTGTATGCATCGTGAGAGGAAGRGACTGAGACAGAGAGAGTGTTCTTTCAAGGTCTGGTTATGGAGGACACTTACCTGAGCTAGAAGCAAGTGACGAAGGTGGCATTGATGTATCTGATGTGGGATTGGTATTGCGCTGAAGCGCGTTGACTCAGGGAACTGTGAACTCATTGTAATCATAATTTTTGATAATATAAGTGACGGGTCTTGGTCCTACTCTCATCTACCTTTGTCTCGTGTGTGGCAACTGTGTCCATTGAGTGTGAAGACGATGTTTGATGTATGCACATCTGCGTGAGTTGGTCCCCAGGACCCATGCAAAGTAATGAGCCAATGTTCAAGGCCTCAGGCCACACCAACACAGTATCCAAAGTCGCTCCTCTCTGTCTGGCACCCAGCGCCCAGCCTACACTACCTGACTATCCTACCTACATCAGCGTTCTCGCAACAGGCTCACTTCGACTCTCGAAGACCAATGTACATGACGTCAACACCATAGCCGACCTCTTCCATGTACCAGGTACGTATCTCGCTTCCCCTCATCAGACCCTGTCCACCCACACTCGCCTCCTTCCTGAAGACCACCGATCGCCCGCCTACCCCCTAGCGCCCTCCAGCCCGGCTATGGCTGCTAGCACTCCGCTGCCCTTCAGCGTCCCTCTTCACCACTCACGCGCCCGCATGCGCTCTGTTATCATCACATGCACACCTGTTGCAGCAACTCTGCACTGCCATCCACCTCTTCATTGTTGTCCGCCTGCACAGATGGTCTATCTATCTATCTGGTTTGTTTGTTTGTTTCTTTGTTTGCCTGTCTGTCTTTCGGGGGGTGGGCAGCCCCGCGGCCGGCTGTCCCATCCGTCCATCTGTCCTTCCTTTTGCTGGCTCGTAGGTCTGTCGGTCTGTGTCTCTGTCTGTGTAGCTAGCTGGTTAGCTATCCATCTATCCAGCCATCAACCTACCTACCAACCTACCCCCCTACCTGCCTACCTACCTACCTACCTATCCATCCATCCATCCATCCATCCATCTACAGACTATCTCTGTCTTTGCCACAAATAGTGGCAGAGAATGATAAATTTGGAAGGCTTCAGGCCTCAGCGGCGCCCGGTAGGTAGGGGCCACTCATGCAAAATGGACCTGGCTCTAAGTGAAGGCCAAGCAGTGAAAATGCTGCCAGCCCTCTGAGGAGGCTGGCGTGAGGTTGCTCGGAGTAAGGCTGGAGGCAGCCTCTCCAACTAACTGGTAGACCCAACCTCCCAGTTATAGTTGAAGAGGCTGAGGCCCAGGAACAAGTCTGGAGGCTGAGGCCCAGGTACAATTCTGGAGGCTGGGGCCCAGGTACATGTCTGGAAGACTGCAAGCTTCTCGGAAATTCTGAGACTGGTGTGAGCCCTGTACCAGCCAAAGGACATCAGCGCCACCTCTGAAGCAAGCGCAGGCAGCTAGGCACCTGAGCGTTGTTGAAGGAGATCAGCCCACGGGCAGCTGCTCCAGCTTGGCGGCAGCCATAGCTGCGCCAAGGGGGAAGAAGGGGCACCTGTGCTGGGGTGATCAGGGGACAAGGACAGCGGTGGGGACAAGCGGACTTACCTGGCGATGACCATTGAGCACCATTCAAGTGGTCAGATTGTGCATAATTGTTAGGCGAGAAGACACACACACACGCACACACACACACACACACACACACACACACACACAGAGAGAGAGAGAGAGAGAGAGAGAGAGAGAGAGAGAGAGAGAGA